TCAAAAAAAGCAAAAGTTTATTTCAAAATAGATAACAATTTTCTCTTTTCATTTGCATTACGTATAATAAATAGATATGAGTTTTTCAAATTTTGTATTATTTATTTATGTAAAGAAATTTATTGTTATTTATCTTGTGATCAATTTAATAATTTTATAACCGATTAGATTGATACCAGGGACGATTTATCACTGTTTACCATTTAATTTACGAAGAAATCATCACAAAATACATAGCGATCGTGATATGTTTCTAAACATATGATCTTCTAGGAAAGCCAAGATATTTCGTCCTATGCAGCGCAGCATAACGATTTCTACGAAGCAACCGAGACATCTAAAACTACGGAGAAGCCGCTTTTTATCGATAACATACCGCGAGAAATTCCATATCTCGTGCCAAACCCGAGCCAGGAAACGCCACCGGAACATCCCGCAATATCGGTACCAATCATCGCGTTCCTCGATCCCGCAAGAATTTCTAATGATAAAATTGAAAACGTGCCAATCGCGGCAGTATTATCAAAACAAGATGGAACCTTGAAGAATCAATTGGAGAACGGACGCGACGAAATTCAACGAAATGTTCAAAATTATGTCGACGAGAGCTCGTGGAGCGTAGATCCCAATAATTGGCAACTCAGTTCGTCTCCTTCCGAGGTAAATCAATTTTTCGTAATATTCAAGACAATATTCTTTAAGTTTTTTATTTTCTAGGAATTATGAAATTTCGACTAATCGATGGATAACCGGTAAAAACGTAAACTATAAATTTTCAATTTTTATAGTTAATTCAAATGATATACACATAGCATAACATTACATTATTACTAGACATTAGAAATGTGCGCTGCAGAAAATTAAATCTAAAATTAAACTCTAAAGACGTTAGAATGTTTCATTTTAAAATTGCAATAAAATATAATCATTACCATAGATTTATTGTAATCGTAATTACATAAAAAATTTACCGTAGCTAGATATAGTTTGCATTTAAAGATATAAAACTAAATATATAAGAAAACATTAAAAGAGATGTTTTCTTCATCATAGATGGAAGTATCATCTTCACTGTACGAGCCGACAACACAGACCATGTACGCGAATAATGTTAATCCTGAAAATTTATTACCAATTACAATGTCTCATATTGATATTGTAACACCACTCTTTTGGACTTCGGATGTGGATATTAACTATCCCAAAGATCCGCGCGATATGGAAGTCGCCGCGGATATTGTCTTCAGGCCGCTTTTCAGATACCGACAAGAGATGCAGCGAAGAGCCTATAGAAAGTCAGCTTATCGAAGATACAATTCTTACAATTCTTATCCGAGACGTGGTTACCGATACAGACCTCGATATTCTGACGATTATTATTAGTACTTTAATGGTAGTGAATGGTGTTCTCGTTATTAAAATCTTGACACAATTTAAGAAAATAATAATCTTTTATTATATTAAATAACAGCCTCAAGTTGAACGCAAAACTGCGAATTATTAAATTTACCGCTTATAGTGATTTTTATACTGTTAATTCGATTTTCTTCAATAAAAATTTGAATGATAAAATGCGCTAGACTAGTGTCTGACTTCATAAATAATTATTAATAACGTTGACATAATTGTTAAATAAAAAATAAATTATATTTCTAAAACGATAGTTTTAAGCTTTGCCATTTAATTCCATCCTTTCTTCCAAATACATTATAATGAACGGTATGATGTTTAAATAAGCAATCGCATATATAATTATTTGTTACCATCAATTTTAATTGACTCGCAACTCAGTTATACGTCATAGTCGAATTAAACATATCACAGCAGAATTAAACCTGACATCCTCGGAGAATATTATTGCCGGTCTTCAGATAAACACGTTTTCTCATGTATGGATTCTTCAGGAGAGAAAATGAGTAGATATGTTAAATGGTCGCGAGTTTACCGCTAAAAGTGGTAGGAAGTTTTGGAATTAATTCAACATTTACGGGATCGTGTATCTTAACATATTTAGAAATCGTTTATCTCCAAAACTGCTGACATATATAAAGCGCGTAGACATACTTTTTAAGGTGGAATGAAGAAAGTCTGTATACAGAAAATGTGTTCTTCCTTGAAAAATATTTGTGAATGCAGGTTAATATCTTTTAACTGTGTTCATAACAAGACGAACGAAACCGGTATGTGTGCTCCTTTCGAAAATAGTGTCATATATACATAAAAAATGGGATGTGTATGTATAATTATAATACTTGAATCTTATTACTGACGGAACTGAGTCAAGTGATGATAAATTAATTATTAGCGAAAAAAGATTTAGCAAACACTTTTAATTCCTTAAAATTAACCGTGCCTTTTACATCTAAATGACATATGATATTATTTGTTTAACTAATAAATCATAATTTCTTCATGATAATAGCAAGTTATTGCATATGTGTATTTCTTACAATAATATATATAATTCTAACAACGCTATTGAATTAGAATTTCATTATTTACGTGTCATTAACATTTTTACAGTGGTGTATTTAATTTTAGATGCGGAATTTATAATAGAAAGATTTATTTTGTATGCAATACGTATAAATAAACCCTTAATTAGACAATTGTATATTAAAACTGCAAACGTTAGTCAAGTCGGTTTTGTTATTTCAAGTTATTTCAAGTTTTTAATCACTAATAAGTACTCTTATTAGTCTCAAATATACGTGTTAGGCAAATTATTTGAACGATTATTGGTATATTTACTTAAAATACGGCAACAATTACTGTTGTTTGTGATAACGTGTCATTATTAAGATCCTTGCGACGAACAGTTAGTCACTCGCTCTTTCATCTATCCATTCATGCGACGTAACACAGTGGTTGTCTAACTTCTTGATTAGCGTGATAAATGCGTTCCTCGTATCTCGTTAATGACTTTAATTAAAATTCACACATAGAAGAGAACATCATTTGAATGTAAAATGTTGATAGCGTAAAGTACAAAATAGAGTTTATTATTTTTGCTCTAAAAATAAAAAAATATAAAATTAAATATTTTTCAACCTTTTATTAAGAAGATTAAGTAAAGAGAATGAAAAATATTAAGAAGTACATAAAATTTGTAACATAAACTCTTAAATAATGTTAGCATGCGAATATGTTTGAACTTTTTACCGGCTAGTTTTTGAGAATGTTTATAACAAATTAAGATTTTTTAATGCCACTTATATGTCACAATAAAAGTTTTATCGTGTAATTCTCTATATGTATTTTACAGTAAAACTTTACAGTAAAAATTTTACAAAAGATGTACTAGAGATGTGATATAAAAGAAGTCTTTCTATTTCGTGCTGCGTTTTCATTGTCCTATTTACATAAATTTCGATTAAACACACGTTTTGATATCGATTTACCACTGTGATTCTGTCGCAGTGCAAATTTTAATACGACGATAAAAACAGAATTCTTTTTAAATGAGAAACACTGTCGTCAATCGAAGAGTGGGAAAACCGTTCGCATGTGCAACACGTGTGAGTCGTACGTGCAAATGTTTAGCGATCAATGAATAGGTGTTTAACACTAGCGGATGTCACTGTGCATTATCAAGGACGGAAATGCCAGATTTTCAGTTTACAATTAGGATCAAAAATAGTTTCGGTATTCATATCATCGTGAAATGACAAATCGAATTTCGCAGTAAATTAAAGAAATGCCTTGAGCTCCGAATATTATTGTTAAAAGAGTACAAAGTTCACGAATCTGGACTTATAGTATAGTATATTAACCCACTATAGAGTTATACTCTACTTCTATTCATTATTATCATGTTCATATTACAATATAAAGCGTATTTCATAATTTTTCCATTAAAAATTCAATGTGTGGTACAACATAACACGTTTAACAGTTTCCTATTAATATTAGATATATGTACAAGTCTTATAAAATGATTAGAACATGCTAAAACTGTTACTTCGCAGGAATAACCGAAAGTCTGTTCCTCATTCCCCTTCTCTCAGCATTTTTTTTCCATTGAGGGCTTTCACCCATGTCCATCTCGGGTGGCAAAAGAAGTACCACGATTTTTCGAGTCTCTTCACCCATTCGCGGTTCGTTTACGAAGGTGACTCACTGTAGTCTCGTAGTGGCGGGATTTTTACCGGGAATAAGACTGCTCTTGCTCCACAATGAATCTGCATATCGCAAACTCCTGTGTGTGAGACTAACTTAATTGTGTTCTTCGAGATCGCACACGGCTTACGTATATAACCGATGCGCGGTCGATGCTTCCCCTCAAACGCCGTCTAAGAGTTCGAGTAAGAACTGGAACGAGTGCCACAATCAGGACATTCACGACAGGAAGAAAGGAAGTGCCGCTGTACGATGAGATTAATATTGACGGTAAGAATTAAGGATGAGATAATTTATCTAACTTAATTTTAAGTGATTCAACTTTTCAAACTTTTCATCAGTATCACCTTCATCTTTATTCTTTGATTGGACATTATTCAGAATATTTTACGGTTTTACATATATCAGGCTGTAATGAGAGAGAAAGAGAGAGAGAGAGAGAGAGAGAGAGAGAGAGAGAGAGAGAGAGAGAGAGAGAGAGAGAGAGAGACATTTTTTCTTTTTTCACCGCTTAACATCAAATAATAAAATTTTATATAAATTTTATGTAATAAAAATATATAATTAACTCCTTGTGCTCGTGGAAGTGATTTTTTACACCAATTGTGTAAATGGCAGTGGATCATATTCGCTTAAGGAAACACGTAATCTTTCGCGGTTTTATTAAAGTATGATTAAAACTATCGTGGTACACCGCAAAAGATAATATTTATATATTTCGTCATATGGCAGAGATTATGTCAACTTCGAGAGAATTAAAACAGACCCAAGTGCGTTTTTAATTTAGCACACACACATATACATATATGTTTCGTATAAATATATATACATTTATTGGTGTCAACGCTTTCCGTCGATTCCCTATTTTTCCAAATAAAATAAAAAGGCATATTTATTAGTGCAATATTGTCTGCATTTAAACATAAGAACATTGCCGAAATTAACAGTCTTACAAATAGTTAAAAGCAATTTAAATAAATATTACTATTGATCTATCTTTCAGTTCTTTTTATTGGCTATCTCGCTGAGTTTGAGCAGCGCGCGAACTCGACAGCGCATAAACGTTATATTAAATTCCACCGTTCGACCACTCGATCAACCAGATTACACGCAATCGCGCAAATCACCGGATGACGAGAGATACGTCGAGCGGGTAGAAATCCACAATCAAATTGGTTTGGACGGTAAAGTGCGAAGGATCCATTCGGACGAGGAGAATAAGCCGGGCATTCGCGCGTATGGTCTACCGAAAAAACACCCACAAGATTACGGTGTTATCGAAAGACTGCATTTTGGAGAGGATCACATTGATGACACCTTGAAAAGTGGTCGATTGGTAAATATTGTCTTTAATTAGGTAATGTAATATATTTTTAAATATGTAATTCGATTTTTAAAGCCTTCATCTTCATACTACATTAGTAATATACATTTTTAACAGAATATAAGAGACACACGTTATATTAAAACATTATGTTAGGTTTAATAAATAATAATAGTTAAAGAAATCTAAGTTAAAAATAATTTCGATAATTATCTTATCATATTATATTACAACATATAATTACAATTGCATTGTTGATTCTAGTTATCAAATAAATTATGTTTAAAAAATTATAAAACGTATATATGTATAATGTATGTATATAATAATCCAAAATGCGTATTATGAAAGCTATATTTTTTGTAGGTGGAAGCATATGGAATTCCGAAAAATAAGGTGGAGACCAATGGATTTATAGATAGACTGCCATTGTCAAGTACAGATCGTGAGTCTGCTAAGTTGGAATCAGAAAATGGAAATGTTAGAATAAGGAGATTTGTTCGAACGGGATCCGGGAACAAGGTCGAAGAGAAGGTTGCTAATGAGGTGGAAGATATGGAGGCACAAGATACCAAGGTTTTCAGACCGCTCTTCGTCTACAGACAACAAGTAGCTACCAGAGAAAGACGAAAGCATGCGAGGAACGTAGCACATAGGAATCACTGGCATGCGACGTATCAACCTTGCTATCACCGTCAAGGAACCCATTGATTTTATTGAGAAGAACGTGAATATTGACATATAGATTCTTCAGTCCGCAGAAGCTAAGCTAATTAGATTTAGGCTAATAGCAAGTTCTTATTTCTTGAACAACAAATAAAAAAATCTCATTCTTTTAGATTTAGATTTTCTCAAAGTATTTGTATAAATATTTTAGACGTTTAATATTTTAAAGTATCTAAAATTTTATCTTTACAAAAAATTTGTAATTTGAGTAAATCCATGAACTGTTTAAAATATCTAGATCTCGAATTTTGTATATTGAATCTTTGTATTATTGATTATGCTTAAATAATTGCACTTAAAAGTTTTGTAACGCTATTGAATAAAGCAAATTTACAAGAGAAACGAAGTTTTCTAAGTCGGCTTAAAAAATTGAATAATTTATAAAAAATACTGTTATGTTCACACTGTATACCCTTCAATATTAAGATATGCAATTTTTTGCAACATTTAATTTAAATAGGGTGAAGACAGTTATGCAAGCATGCTGGAAAAGATCGATTATATTAAAATTAAAATAATCTAAATAGTGTGAAGTTGTAAATTCTGGCATTTAACCATTAACAAGTTCGTTAATTGACAGTTATTTATATACCATTATATACAAATCGCACGTGTTATAATTTTCGATTCATAATATACATTTAATAATACTAGATTTGTTTCCAAATTTATAATAGATGAAAGTTAATTATATTATTTTAAAAAACTATATTGCACAATGCTAATTATGTTCAATTTATTTCGTCATCATTTGATAATAAATTAAGGTTAAATTTCAAAATCTATTTGTGTCAACTTAAACAGCAAACGCATTGAGCATAAAAATATCATACGTAGAAGATAATTTACTTAAAAAATATAAAATTAAGAATCCACGTAAGTAGAATGTTTCAATTTGTTAATTTTGTTAACTTTAACAATTTGTTAACTAATGTTTAATCTGTGTATTAATTTTTCTATGTTGTATAAACCAAGAATATCAATGCAATTTACACTTATTAAACATTAATTTTTATTAATAATAAAATAAAAATTTGATTAAAGTTATTGAATTAAAACATTAAACTCTTATTAAAGATTAAGAACTTATTTTGTGTACATCTAAGATACAACTAATTTATATTTTTTTTATGTATGTAACAGCATGTATAAAAGAGTATGGACTGCGTTTGAACTAAACAAAATTGTTTCCATAATTGTCATACATGTACTCGATTCATTATTGTTTCTTGTGTTATTGCCATTTATGGTTTGGGAATGGATCTCCGACAGGCCGTACATAATAACAATTGTGAGAGCAATTGTTGAAGTAAGATTTGATAATTATTTACTATTTTAGAAATTAAAAGTTAAATCAAACATTTTACACATATAATTTTATGATTTAAAAGAAATGTTTAAATATTTCTATTGACTATTTATATTTACATAATAATAATCTAAATAATACAATATACATATATGTGTATATATATGTATATTTCTTACTTTTAAATTAATTTCAGATTTATTATGTCTTTTGCAGGTTACGTTAGAACTGATTATGTGGATTATCTTTGCTGGTGTATCAATACTTACGACTGTGATTTTTGTACTTGATGACGTAAACCGCAGTAAAACACATTATGACGATCAGCTAAGATATGTTACGATACATGATAATAATGATGGAAGTTGTCATATGATAAAGTCTACAAATTTTGAGAAAGGGAACATTAAGTGACACAAATAAAAATTTAGTTACTCTAAAAAATTGGTTTACTTAAAAATAAAAAATTTTATTATTTACAACCAATTGAAGTTTTTTCTCTCGATATATTTTGTGTTATTGCTGTTCTTTTCAATAATTAATTTGCAAGTTTTAAACTGTAAATAAATTGTTTCGCAGCCAATATTTAGTTTTTGTAAATGTGAATATATAAATTTATCAATTTTAATATGTTAGGTATGTGTTTAATTACATTTTTTAAATATAGTTTGTTTAAACTGTTAAATTAGGTAAAATGGTAATTTTCGTAAACAACAAATTAGAAAACTTTATTTTCTTTAAAATACATAGTACTTTTCTCTACGTGTTTTATGATATTTACGTATCATCCTGTCCATCATTATCCTTAGCCTCGTTATTCGCTTTCTCATTGCTAAACTTAACCCCTATTAGCTTTCTTCATACCACTCTGACCCTCATTACTCCCCTTTCTCGTTATTCATGTCTCCCATTTCATTACACAATGCCTCTGCTATTATTCTTCTGCCCAACTTACTATGATCTCTTGTTATCGATACTATAATTTCAATCCATATATTTCAAAAAGAAAATATTGTATGATATAAAAGGATTCTCTATTCTTCAAACCACAATTAAGGTCATTACATTTCTCTAAATCTCTAAATGATATAATAAATAAATATATTTAAAAAATAACAAAAATTATATTGCACTTTATTCTGTTATTAAATTTCTGCATAAAAAGAGAAGGCAAAAGTGTATACAACAATCACGACTAAGAAACCAAAGAAATAATAAAATTTTCTTTCTCGCAATGGTCTTTAACGAGTATTTATTGTAAAATGTTACCTGTTATAAGTATAATATTATTACCATTAAACCAGCAATGATATTAATGTTGTTATCAATAAGAAAACATTTAGCATAATAAGAAAAAAAAGAGAAAGTCTTCTATTAAAATAATCTGTTGTGTATTAATTTTTTGATTTAAATTGCGACAGTGATTATATGTATATCATTAACTCCTTGCAAACATCGTCACTTTAGAAAATTATCTAGAGAACCTAACCTGGGATTAATTCCGGCCT